GGCCTCTCAGAGTCCAGGACCGCTTCCCCTGGGAAGGGGACACCGGAGCGGCCTCGGAGGTGGGGGATCTGCGCGCGACCATTGCGGCCCCGGGGGAAGAGGTCGCGAGCCCTGGGTTTTGGGGGGAGACTCTGCTAGTTGAGGCAGGACTGGGGGCCTGCCAAGGCTTCACCCCTCAAGGCCCTGGCCTGCGGGTACGGAGGTGGTGCCAGGGAACTTAGCCGAGTGTGGGGGAAGGGCTCTCTGGCCAGGCTGGGAGGGACTGCCCGGGGACCAGGCTTTGGGGGCGGGGCGGGATCGGATCACTATGGGGTACTGCCGTGGGACTTGTTGGGGGCCAGACTCAGTGAAGTTTGGGGGTTCAGATCTAAGGGAGCTGGGCTTAACGGAAGTTGGGGGGAAGCCCGCTCGGATGATGGAGAGAGGGGCGAGGGGAAGTTCATTTTGCATCCTTTCAAGATTTTGAGCTCCCGAACCTGTGAGAGTGTAGGGGGCCCGGATGGGAAAGAGTTGGGGTGAATGAGACTTTTATGGGAGTTGGGGGTCCTGTCACAGGGTGTTTGGACAGGGGGCTGGATTCTTAGGGCGGCAGGAGGCCGTGACAGCCCGGAGCCGGAACCTCGAAGGGACTGGATCTTCGAGGAGTGCTGTGGGGAGGCCAGTTAGCTCCCCGGGGAGGGTCTCGGGTCCTGTGGAATGCGGGGGGGCTTGATCTGTGCAGAGAAGAGGTTGCGGGCAGCGGCGCTGCGGGCCGCGGGCCGACTGGAGGGGGAGGGGGCCGGTCGCTGGCTCTGCGCTCGCTCTCGCCCCTCCCCCGCCGTCTCCGAACAAACTTTTCTTTCTCTTCAAGTTGAGACCGGCGCTGCAGGCGGCGGCGGCTGCGCGGCGAACGTGGTGGCCTGCGCTGCCGGGCGCGGAACCCCCTGATCCCCGCCGGCGGATCCTGCGACTGGACCTCGGCCCCGGCCCCGGCCCCGACCCCGGCCTGGGGCGGATGGCTCGGGGCTGCTGGCGCTGAACCCTGCGCGGCTCATGGCCTCGGCGTGCGGGGCGCCCGGCCCGGGGGGCACCGCTC